TTCCACAGGCATGTTTTTACTGGTTTACTCGTTTATTGACATTGCTGTGTAGAAGCATTATGGTGACGCAATACTCAGTTGTTCTTGATCTAGTGAACGGTGGTGTCGGTCAAATTTAACTTTTATTTAGTCATTCTGACTATCAACTGACTATATGAACGCACAAGATCTCGGATTCCGGATGAAGGCTTCAATCGACTCTCACCCTTCCGAAAATGTGTTATACTACCAAAAAACCTGGGCACTTCACAAAACACTATTTCCGTAGTTTAGCAAGAGTTTCAGTTGCACAAGTCTAAAGCAAAGCCTCGAAGCATACCGTTGCTCGAAATTAATAATAATAATAATAGACGTCTTTATTTATCCACAATTACATTGTAGTATAGCCAAATGTCAGACTTATATGGCGAAGTTTAGCATGCTGCTACTCTTACACTTAACCATATAGTCTGTAGTAGATATTCAAAAGAATACACAAACAGATTTGGTTCATTACATCGAAAGTAAATTTAAAAAAAGAGAAAAAGGCATACTTTCCAGACCCAAATGCACCAAAAAATTATAAATCTAAATTAAAGATGGAATAAAAAAGAAATGAATGATTACGTAAATTATATGTTTGAGTAATAATGTTTTAACTTTTTGTCGAAAGACAGGTAATGAAAATTCTTTATATACTTCAGGAAGGTCATTATAAATAATAGCAACATTGTAAGAAAAACTGCGTTTAAAAAGTGTAGACGTATGCAGGGGTATTCTAATATTATTTTCTCTGAGAGTTCTACAGTGAACATCATTATTAAACGAAATTTCTTCCTTCAAGTAATAAGGTTTAGACGTGAGCAACAATTTGTGAACAAAAACTGAATAGTGATACTTGACCATGTCATTAATTTTTAACCAGTTTAGAACGGGATATTTCGCTGATACATGATCAAATTTACGTAAGCCAAAAATGAATCGTATACAATTGTTTTGAATAACTTTAATAACGGTTTTAGTGAAATTGTCTAAACAAGTATAGTATACGATATTCCAATAATTTAGTATACAGGGTTATCCAAATTAAGTGTCCACCATTAGTAACTTTGTTATTAGTGAAAATACAAAGTTGTTTGAATTAGCAAACTAGTAGCATTTTTAACGCTGGTAAAAATGAGAAATAAAAAAAAAAACAATTGAGAGTCGTTATTATGATTTTTTTCAGTAAAATAACATTTTTTTAAATGGAAACCCCTGTATATTATATTTTTTTCTGTTAAAGCATCAAATTTTAAACAAAAAAGCTTACAATAACTTTTCTCCTAGGTTACAAATTGTTGAAGTTATGGCCTCCAATCTGAAACAATTAAATTGTATCGACAAACTTTATTTTCAACATCAACTTATAATCTTACAAAATACAATAACAATTTTTTTTAAAGAAGATGCTCAAAAACACCACCTTGTTCTTCAATACATTTTTGGGCACGTTTTTCAACTGCTCGAACTGTCTTAAGTATGGTCCTACCATCTATCTGGGTTATCTTTTCCCTAACTGCAGTCTTTAACGCGTCAAGGTTATCGTACCTTCGCTTGTAAATTTGGTTCTTTAAGTAACCCCACAAGAAGTAATCAAGTGGGTTTAGATCTGGTGATCTGGGAGGCCACTGTATTGGGCCATTTGTTCCTATCCACTGATCATTAAAAGTAGTACTTAGAAAATGATAAGTACCTCTGGAGTTGTGGGCAGGTGCGCCATCTTGCTGAAAATGCAGATGATGTCTACTTATAAGATCCAATTCGTCTAAGAAATTAGTCAGAATTTCTGACATAAATTCCACATATCTTTCACCAGTTAGGGTTCCCTCATAAAAGAACGGGCCAACAATTTTTGAACCAATTATACCGCACCAAACGTTGAAACTGAAACGGACTTGTGGGCCTCTTGGATGTACTAACAAAAGATTTTCTCTTGACCAATAATGGTGGTTTTTTCTATTAAACATTCCAGAATTTGAAAAATTTGATTCATCTGTCCATAAAAGGTAACGAAAGTTATTTACATTTTGGCGACAGAAGCTAAGATACCAATGGCAAAAAACAAGTCTTCTCTCTGGATCCCCTGCCAAAAGCGTTTGAACTGGTCGGTACTTATACGGAATAAATTTGTATTTTTTTAAAATCCTTTGAACAGTACCATAACTGAAATTAGAGTCCTTGAGAATATCTGCTATTGAATTCTCACGATAAGCTTCAAAATATCCAATAACTGCAATTTCCGTGGCCTCGCTTATTATGAATTCTTTTTTTGCCCTTGTTTTAGCAAAAACATTTTCGTTGCCCCTAAATTTTCGATAAAGTCTCAGAAAATATCGTTCATACGGTTGAATGCGAGCGGGATATAATTCACTGTAGTATTCTCTTGCTCTCAAGGAGGATTTTCTGCACACTAAATAGCATTCTAACATATCACACTTTTCTTCATGGGAGAACATTTTTCTTTAAATTAATGACACAATAAAGCTTATAAACAAGTATTTACACTAATGTTTGACATTATTTGATTTTATCATTGTTTTCCAAAGCCTTCTAGTTGCGAGTATGTCCAGTTTAACAATTTGTCGCTTATCTTAATGCTGTCAAATCGCGAACGCCATGTTGTTTTCATAGCCGTCTTAATATTATAATACTGCAAATAATTAAAAATATTTATCGTTATTTTGACTTTATTTTTGACTTTAGCGGAAAAGTCATTATGAACTTTTTTGTTTAAAATTTGATGCTTTAACAGAAAAAAATATAATATACAGGGGTTTCCATTTAAAAAAATGTTATTTTACTGAAAAAAAATCAAAATAACGACTGTCAATTGTTTTTTTTTATTTCTCATTTTTACCAGCGTTAAAAATGCTTCTAGTTTGCTAATTCAAACAACTTTGTATTTTCACTAATAACAAAGTTACTAATGGTGGACACTTAATTTGGATAACCCTGTAGATATGACCAATGCTTCACATAGTTTTTTACGCAACTTAAAATTTAGTAAATACCTGTGTGCAGCCGTAGATAGGTTTTCTGAGATAGGCTTTTAACATGTTCAATAAACCTTAATTTTGTATCAAAAACAACACAGAATCAGAAAATTGCAAAATTTGATTATTTATCTGAATGTTCAAGAGCTGTGTTACATTGTATGTTTTTCTTTGTGCGCAAAATAATAACATTTTAGATTTTTGTGGATTAATAAGTAGATTGTGATCTAAAGAGTATTTAATTAATTTATTAACATCGTTTTGTAAAATTTTAGTAGTATTATTGACACTATCTGGGTTAAAATAATGGAGCAATTGCGTATCGTCTGCAAATGACTGGACATGAGAATTATCAATACTTTTGCTTAAGTCGAACGTATATATGAGGAACAGAAGCGGCCCCAATACAGAGCCCTGGGGTACGCCTGAGGGAATTATTGTCACTTGAGACATTTCTTGATTGAGAAAAACACACTGAGTTCTTTGATGAAGGTAACTGTCGAAAAATGAAAGGGATACACTGTCAAGACCTATGTAATTTAATTTAGCAAGTAATAATTTATGATTGATGCTGTCAAAGGCTTTCGAATAGTCTATAGAGATTAAGGCTAGTGCCATTTTCTTATCTAAGGCACTTAAAATATTGTCTTGCAGATTAAGTAGGGCAGATGTTGTACTATAATTTTTTCTAAAACCGGATTGAGTGTCGGGAAGTATAAAGAATTTTTCTAGGTAAGCGGTCAATTGGAACTTTATAATTTTTTCTAAAATTTTGAACAAAATTGGTAATAAACTGACGTCATTTATTTTTAGAACACAGTAGGAAAACTGTTCCACAAAAAAAATCAATTCAAACAACCAAATGGACTCGAGCGGGTTCAAACTTGTACTGAAGGCGGATCGCATGTTCCACTGTCTCCCCTCTAAGCCAGGCGCCTCCAGTGTTGCTATATTGACCGCTACGTTGCCAGTCTCATCTCTGATATTGCGTGCGGTAAATATTACCATCAGTGAGAATGGCAAAAGTAAAAATGTTAAAAGACATCTGACAAGAAGAACTGTCAAACATAGGAACGATTTTTTTGATTATGTAAAAAATATAAATATGGCAAAATATCCCAACAGACGTCGGTAAAAAATTGGTATCTTCTATAAGCAGCAGATGTCAGGCAGTGTTGAACGTGAAAGACTATGCTACCAAATATTAGCTAAACATCTTTTTGTAGAGTTATTGTATTTAATTTGCAATGAAAAATATGTTTCAATACTTCTGTCGTCTCATTTTTGGTCGTAAAATAATATGAAGGTATTTTAATGCTAGTCTGTAGTACCACAGCAACACAAATTTCCTTTTGTATCCTCAAGACTGTAAGCAAACTATATGAGCAAAAAAATAGTCCTTAATAATAAAGAAAAAAGACACTTTTGTCCGCTGTGGGGCGATTCTGGTATTATGTCGATTTCTGACACTAATGTCATGTACTTCACAGTTGAATCGCAATTTATCTCTCAAGTATTCAGATTTCGAGGACATGATAATTTTGTGAACGACAATCAAGAACCTATATTTAACTAGACTACCTAACATACGCGAATTTGATTCCTTATATTTTCACTAATGTGATCATATATTCGCAGTTTGAAAATAACTAGGATGTGTTCTAAGTGAAACTCACCTATGGGGACTACGCTTTCGCCTAACTAATCTCGGGTCAGCAATGATCATATCAGCTACATCTCCTTGCTCGTCGTGGCAAGGATCAGTCAAGTCGCTTAGGCTGTAACTCTTCTTCAGCTGATTCACAATTCCTCCGCCGCTCTACAACACATTTTTTGAATAAAAGTTGAATACTCCGAACGTTATTCAAGCGGTGTACTTACGTTGAACAGAAAATAAAACCGAACCAAACTAATTTTAAAAAGCCATGCAGCAATGCTTGTGAGGTTGTGTTAGAAATGGTGAGGGTGAAATAAAATACAGAAGGAGTTGGCCTTAACTTTAAGTATATTCATTTAGAAAAACAGATCACAACGTATTTCACCTCAAATGAGATTTTTGCTAAATATTTCTTACAGTAGGTATATAAAAAGTGCAAAAACGGTAACGATATTAAAAATATAAAAAACTAACGTAAACATTTTGTTAAAAGAGAATCCAATACAACATTTTCGACGCACTGACATTTGTCATTACATATGTTCTGATTAATAAAAACATAGTCCAGATCATAGGTTTTTAATGAAAAAGCCATAGTCTAGACATTAAAATGCTTCAAAATGTGGTGTCTCTGACAGTCTCAAATTAAAGTATGCTGCCGAAGTTTTCGTGTAAGGTGTATGTGAAAGTTATCATCCGATCTACGAATGCTAACGGTTATTTATTCAAGATAAAGGCACTTCAAAAGTTTACTTCCGCACTTTGTTTCGTTTGAAAATATCATATCAATCGAATCATAGGTATTTATAAGGTTATCATGAATGCTCACCGTAAGGTATAACCCAATATTAAAGATTTTATTGAAAGTTGGGCAAAAATACAATTAAATTGTTTATTGGGAACTGGTAAAACATAAAGCTTAGTGAACCCGTTTGACGGTAATCTCGAGCTTTCGACAAACTATGTTGTAATCTTCAGGAGCTAAAACACAATTATGAAAATAGCAACCAATTTAGAGCAGATTTAAACTTTCAAATTACTTACTCGACGGTGAGATTGCCGCTAAATGGTGTCCACGCTTTCATTTTAAAACACTATTTAGCTGCAACCTCACCGACGAGTAAGCGATTCGAAAATTTAAATCTGTTCCAAATTGGTTGCTATTTTCATAATCGTGTTTTAGCTCCTGAAGATGACAACATAGTTTGTCGAAAGCTCGAGATTGCCGTCAAAAGAGTCCACTAAGCTTCAAGTTTTGCCAATTCCCAATAAACAATTTAATTGTATATATTCGAGATTTCAACTTATTTTCCGATAGATTTGACCTTTCCAAACACTATTTAGTGCTTCAGAAGTTTCATTTGATCTTTACTGAATCTACTAACAAGGAAAATGTTCCAAGACAAATTCTGAGATTTGCTCTGATTTCTTCAATGTGGATTAAAACCACTGCACCTTTTTTTGTTATCCGAAAACCTGACAAACATCAACTAGACAGTACATTATACATATCACAGAAATTCGAGGATATAAGCATTAAAAAATATGATACTCTCGAGTAATCCAGCCCATAATGTTCATGAAAAAATACGAACAAGTATATATACATTATATTTATGAAGACGATTTTAGATAAAAGCATTTCAGAAATATTATTTGATATACTTGTCATTGTTTTCATCAGCATTGTTGGTAGAGATACTGATATATTTCTGTCATAGAATTTCGATGCCATCTATGGCTTTTGTTTTGTCAATATCTGATCCGCTACCTCAAATTTCTGCGTTAACGACATACAAAATTCAAAAACTAGCTAAAATCAATGTTAAATAATGAGATCTTACGATTTGGTCATACGAGTCTTGTCAAACATTTTTTGGTTAACACAATAGGAACAGTATCTCATTATTTAACACTTAGTTCTGACCAACAAAAATGTAAAAACTGAAGCACTATAGAGGACTATCGTCCACCATTCGAGCTACAAGTGACAGCTGCTGGTGTTTCATGTCATCGGTAAACGATATGACCCAATACCTATAAGCTCGGACAATGTGTGGAGATGAGGGTATGAAAACAATATCCGTTAAAGGTGCTGTTGGTGCTATGAATTTGGAATGGCCAAGTTGGACCATCGTTCAGATTACAGTTACTGTCAGACCGAAGTTATATGATGTGTTATATGGTATACGTTATACGAGGTTTATTCGGAAAAAACGCATAAAAAATTCGGGGAGTCGTGTCAGGGCGTTGTGAAGGGGTGGTGTGGTAGTTCCCACTCTCTATGCAACCCCACTTTCTGATCGAGGAACGGCGCATCAACATCAAGTTTCTTGCAAAGCTAGACAAGAATGGTCGTGAGATTTTTGAGTGTTTGGAACAAGTTTACAGAGACAATTTTCTGAAGTGGTTGAAAATCTTTCGGGAAGGCCGAGAAGAGGTGAAAGAAGACCAACGCTCAGGACGCCCCTCCACATTGAGCTCTGAAGGAAACCTTCAACGAATTAGGGGCTGTGTTCTTAAAAACCGTCGATTGGCAGTTAGAATGATAGCTGAGAAACTATCAATTGCCAAAAGTCGTCCAGACATTCTGACAGAAAAACTTGAAGCTCTTGACTTCAGAACCGAAAGCGAGGCAGGTTGCTTGCTGTGAGGATTGGTTGGAAGCAGAGGAAAGGGGGGACTTTCTCAACCGGGTCATCACTGGAGACGAGTCTTGGTTCTGAAATCTCAAAGCATGGAGTGGAAGCAAGCAGGGCAATCAATAAAAACGTCGAAAAAATCGAGGTCCAATGTGAAAACAATGTTGATGGTTTTCTTTGATTCTCGGGGCATTGTTCACCAGGAATTTGTCCCTCCCGGCCAGACAGTGATCGAAAAACATTGAAGCCTGGCGTCGTGTCAGATCTCGTGTGGACCGAGTTCGACCGGATTTGGCACAAGGAGGCAGGTGGATTCTTCATCACGACAACGCGCCTGCTCACACGTCTTTCGTTATGGGTGAGTTTTTGGCCCGAATCTCAATCACTTGCCTTATTCACCCGATTTAGCCCTTTGCGACTTCTTCATGTTCCCAAAATGGAAAATGGTGCTTCGGGGGTGGCACTTGGGGGATGTGGAAGCCATCAATGCAGAAACGACACGGCAAATGAACAGCCTCACACTTGAAGACTTTCCGCAATCGTATCAGCAGTGGAAACGGCGTTGGCAGAAGTGCATCTTGTCTCAGGAGGGTTACTTTGAAGGAGACCATATTGAAACTGTAAAATACAGTTATGATTTCACCTTTATACGTATTTTCTGGACAAAGCTCGTATCATAGTTGCGAGTGATTGAAAGTTTTGTCGAATTTTTCGTTGATTTTGACAAGTTGATAATAATTTTGCTGTTCAAACTGAGATTTAACAGAGTCCCACCTTAGGCTATTGTGGATTGTAGACTTTGGATCATCGCAAAAGTAAGAATAAACGAACTAGCGGTAACGATATACAGGATGGGCTAGAATTAACAAAGCAGTTTAAAAAAGCATCTGGATCTATAGACAGAATATTGTTTTCGGAATCAAGAGTTTACGCCAATTTAGATCTAGCAAGTTTGGAAAAGAATGTCTCAATATTTCGATCGTTAGGGGTAATACATTGCTGGTGACGACTCCTGAATCTGTAAACAGCTAAAGTACGGGCATATCAAGCCAAATTCACTTGTTCAGTTTAGAAACGGAAATTCTTCCACTACTGAGCTGAAAACTGCATTCCAAAACTGCCAATGTAGTGTGTTGTATCACAATTTGTTGTAATAGGCCCGTACTTCGAATAAAGAGGAGTAACCATGACTGAATTTTGCATATTCGTTTTGGTGTTCATTTTTTACAACCCAAACTGGAAGAACTTGTTGAGAATGAGGAATTAAGGAACTTTTGATTCCCACAGCATGGAGCTCAATACTCAATGAATGTTTTAAGAGATATGCTTCTAAGACTCATTTAAAGATGTGGGATAGCCTGCACGGTCACCAGATTTGAGTATCTGTAACTTCTTCCTCCGAATATCTAGGAGCCGCTTAAACATCGTTCTGACACCCTGTTATTGCTAAGAAAGTGGACTCTTGTTATTTCCAGCAGTGTTTTGCTGCTAATGGCCGCCATCTTGATGATATTATTTTCAATACCTAATAAATCTAAAATGGTAGAAACTGCTGACTCCGAAATTAAAAACATTTCTTTCCATAGATCCAATGTCTTTTTTATAATTTTTTGAAGCTACTCTGTCGGACCCTGTATAGTAATAAGATAAGACACCTTTATAATGTATAGAAACAAAATGGTGGATAATAAGAACTCCCTCTATAGCGCCCCGATTAAAACTAAAATCAATCGCTCAGCTCATCAGTCTTGACTTCTTTAGCTTTTCTAGTCATCTTCCTAGTCGCAGCCCTCCGCTTGACCACCTTTTTGACAGGTATCTCTTCCGGCACCTCCATGGGGGCTGCATCATCGTCGGAGTACATGCTCAAATCGTGGACTTGTTCGACAGTTACGGAACGTCTGACAACGCGAACGGCGTCTACCGTGTCCACGTCGTCGGACAGAGCGGGTTCAGATCTGGACGATACAAGGGCTGGCGGGATTTGGTTAATAGACTAGAAACGCAATCCAAAACGAAACAAAAAATTAAGTGTGTTAGGTGCGTTAGCGTGCGAGAAATTAATTCGAAATTTCGAGCATGACAGATGCTCCCAATTTTTTGAATCGATACTGTAACAGCTAGCTGTGAAGTTTCAAGTTAGGGCAGCCTACATACTCGAATCATAATAAATTAAAAATGTGTACGAATTAGCATAAAAAACATTACATTGTAACCAAGCTTGCATTTTAAGAAGCAAGGAATTCAAGTCGCAGAAAATAAAAGTATCATATTAATGAAAAAGCGCTTGTTTGAAAACATCAGAATCAAAATGTATTTTGGCAGCGGTCCAATTTTATACATCTGTATATCAATATTTAGATTTAAGTCATACGGCAAAATATTGCATGTGAAAAATACATATAAGTTTAAATCACTGCAGGAATGAATTGACGACACAAGGTGTCATGTAACATTTTTTTAAATTGCTTTTTTGCCTTTAACTGACCTTGAGAAATCATTATTTCATTCTGTGATTATTTTGTTACAAAAACAAGATAATAACAAACTAAATAAACTAAATATTTGAAATTTCAACAAAGTAAAAAGCCCCAATAAAAAATGATATGAATACTAAAATGAATTATCATTTGAAATTTCAATTATATTTTAACATTTTACAAGCTTGGTATACAATTGAGTATAGAGACGTGAAAAGCAGATAATGCTCACCTTCAAAGCTGTTTGCATAAGGGCTGTAACACCTTTTGATCCCAAATCCAACACTTGTTTATAGCTCTGCTCCTTGGCCTTTGAAATATATTCATCGATTTCCTTGAACACAAACGAAAATATATCTTATCCACAGAAGGCCTAAATGTTCAAACACATGGAACACAAATCAACTTCTAATGGTGTATATAGAATAATTTTTACGACTAGGCAAAATACAAAAATGTGTAACTCTATCACAAATCAGTGGCGGATCCAGGGGAGAGAATTCTTGTCACAAGTCACAAGGGCATTCACTCTCAGAAGCACTACTGCAGCAGATTCCCCTCCTGCCCCGTTCTTCAACAACTATATGGGGCTCATACGTGCTTTGTGCTTCCAAAACCCTCAGTTCGCTCCCCCACCACCATCCCAAAAAAAGATCCCTCTGGATCTGCCCCTGTCCCAAATTGATATCATAAGATTTCGTTTAGCGGATGACTTACTTGTTCCTTTGAGCTGAGCATAGGATGGACAAATTTTCTATAAAGAATACTGGATCCCTTTGTCGCTGGCGACAAAAGCCATATGACAAAAATAATCTTTATTTCATAATAGAAAGGAAACCTGAAACGAAAATGAAGAACATTACTCCAGTAACAGCAACAGTTGTCAATTCAAATATTTGCGGTACATGCGATACGTTGATATATTTATATAGCACATAAACGTTTGGACACTGCTTTAGAACTGTTAAATAGTGATATTAAAAAAATTATGAATTGGTTAAATGTTAATAAATAAAAACAAATATGACTAAGTCTATGTTAGAAGTACTACAGTGGTTTAATGTAATGTAATGTGAAACTTTTCATATTTTATTTAGTTCTCATTTTCATATTCAAATTAAAAAATCATTTGTTACTACCACATTTAGAAAACTTCACAAAATTAAACAATCATTATCGTCACTATGAAACTAGAGTCAGTATAGATTTTCATTTGCAAAATTGTCAGAGTAGCATAACCAGCAAATCTGTATTTGACTTTAATAAATTAAATAATGAGATTAAACATTGTTCGAATTTAAAATATTTAAGGTGAAATAAAAACATCTCTTTATGAATACTCAAAATGCATAGTGACGTAATTTCAATAGACAAGAATGTAAAATTACAGAAAATAGATGGGTAAAACGAATAAGTATACAATATTAATGCTAAATAAATCTTCAAAAAACAAACAGAAATTACAGTAATTAAAAAGGTGATACACCTGACATCTAATTTCTGATCTAAGTATTTCTAGAATATCCCAGTTTTGTGATTTCGTGTAAATTAAAACGATTTCAAAGAGAGCACAGTTAGACTAGTAATTAAAATAAGAATATATACTAAGTGACATATAAATCCGAAAACCCAGTTTAAATGGTTTTATTTTAATAAAATTTTGTATAAGTACTTAAAGAAGCATAATAAGTAAATGATAAAAATTTCAAAATGATTGCACTGCTTTAAAGCCCTTTGACCTTTAATAATGTGTGGATGCACCCTGATTTGCTACGCATTCTCCAACGCGCCTAGGCATGCTTCTGATCAGGTGGTCAATGTCCTCCTGTGGTATCTCATTCCAGGCAACCACCAACTCCTCTCGAAGTGCTTCTAGAGTCTGAGGAGGACGTTGCAAATTGAGCAATCTCCTACCCATCATATCCCACACGTGCTCAATTGGGGATAAGTCGGGAGATCTTGGTGGCCATGGTAACAATGTGAGATCATTATGTTGAAAGAAGTCTATTGTGACTCTTGCAACATGTGGTCGGGCATTATCTTGTTGGAAAGTTGGATCTGCCAGGGTGTCAAGATAGGGTAAAAGATGGGGTTCTAGAACTTCGTGGATATAACGCTGCGCGTTCATGTTACCTCTGATGAAGATTAAAGGTGACCTGGAACCATAAGCTATAGCACCCCAAACTATAACTCCAACAGTGTGATGAACATGTCTTTCAACAAAAAACTGTGGATTCCTCCTTTCACCACGTCACCTTCTAACCCTGGCACGACCATCGTGCATGCCTAAACAAAATCGAGACTCGTCACTAAAGACAATACTGTTCCATTCCTGATCCCAGAGTGACCGTTGTCTGCACCACTCAAGGCGATTACGTCGGTGTAAGGGTTAGAAGGCGACGTGGTGAAAGGAGGAATCCACAGTTTTTTGTTGAAAGACATGTTCATCACACTGTTGGTGTTATGGATTGGGGTGCTATAGCTTATGGTTCCAGGTCACCTTTAATCTTCATCAGAGGTAACATGAACGCGCAGCGTTATATCCACGGAGTTCTAGAACCCCATCTTTTACCCCATCTTGACACCCTGGCAGATCCAACTTTCCAACAAGATAATGCCCGACCACGTGTTGCAAGAGTCACAATAGACTTCTTTCAACATAATGATGTCACATTGTTACCATGGCCACCAAGATCTCCCGACTTATCCCCAATTGAGCACGTGTGGGATATGATGGGTAGGAGATTTCTCAATTTGCAACGTCCTCCTCAGACTCTAGAAGCACTTCGAGAGGAGCTGGTGGTTGCCTGGAATGAGATACCACAGGAGGACATTGACCACCTGATCAGAAGCATGCCTAGGCGCGTTGGAGAATGCGTAGCACATCAGGGTGCATCCACACATTATTAAAGGTCAAAGGGCTTTAAAGCAGTGCAATCATTTTGAAAGTTTTATCATTTACTTATTATGCTTCATTAAGTACTTATACAAAATTTTATTAAAATAAAACCATTTAAACTGGGTGTTCGGATTTATATGTCACTTAGTATATTTAGGAGAACAATTATAATTATTTATAAATATAACCATTATACAATATCTGATTTGTATGCCAAAAATCTATGGGTCTAGAACTAGAGTACGATGAGACAGTTTATTTTTATCCATAATATGTGCAGCATTGTTAGGGCAGCTCGAAATGGCGTTTAATAAGAAGAATGCGGAAATTATATTTAGAGCAAGATATTTTGGGCTGCACTACATGTATAAGTAGGTAGTGCTGCAAGACTGGAGAAGGAATGCTCTACTTAATGTACATCTGATGAATTTCTAGCAACGATTCACGAATACGAAAATACTCCTCGCCATATAACCTCACTAATTTCGGATGACGCTGAACCAACATGATTGAAACCTGATTTTTCCTAATGGGTAATTTAATAATTAATTCAAAAATAAAAGCACGCTAGCTATTAAAATCTCCTTTCGTTATTATTGGAAACTATTTCAGGGTTTGTTCTCTTCGAATCTACAAAGCTTCCAGAGGTTCATGATAATGTCATTTACAAAGTGATAAGCAAATTTGATAATATGGACGATAATTTTAAAAGCACTTATCTACTCAAACGTGCCTCGTTGCAAGTGCAAGATGCCTGACCTATATAAATAAGTATAGAACTTAATCTGATATTTCCTACTACAGTTCTAATAATTGGACTTCGTTCGTTACTTACCAGCTAAGGAAGATATCTGTGAACGTTTCTATACACGTGAAGAGAGCGAAAACTATCCAGTACATCATCCATTTTACCTGGAATGATAATTTTTTCAGTTAACTGGGAGATGGCTGTTCCATTTTTGAACCCACATTATAAAGTCAAAAGAATTATAGAATGCTATAATTTTAGTTCATTAATTTTGACAACCAAATATTAATAATAATGATAATAATAATAATTATAATAATAATCGTCTTTATTTAAACTGTACTTCATACAGAAACAAGAGTTGCATATGGTGGCGAAGTTTAGCAACATGCTACTCTTACACTTAACCACCCATGCAAAAAAAAACAAGTTGTTAAGTAGCAGATATCAAACAAAATATACATATATACATACACATGTACATACATACATATACACACATTACATACGTACATGTTGCACCAAGGTTTGCTACATGTACACAAGGGACGTGAAGAATCATTTAACAATATATCTATAGCAATCTAATTAAGACTATGGATCCAAGTAAATATGAGATTTGACAGCTTTCTTGAAGCAATTTAAGGACATGGTTTTGAATCCAGGACTCAAGGCATTGTATAACACTGAAGCCCTGTACGTGAAAGAACGCTGGAATAAAGTTGTGGAGTGAATAGGTGTAGTTATCAAATCTGGAAATCTAATATGTCTATGATGAATATTTCGCCTAAAGATCAGCTTTTCTCTTAAGTATATAGGTTTTGACATAAGTATTAGTTTATGAATAAAAACAAGGTAATGATATTTGACAATATTTTTGTTATCATCCAGTTTAATTCAATAAGACTACCAGAAACATGGTCAAAGCGCCTTAAACCGCAGATGAACCTAGCACAATTGTTTTGCACAATTTGAATCCGATTTCTAGTAACAACATTGAGACACGGATAATATAAAATATCACAGTAGTTGAAAATCGGCATAACCAAAGATGAACACAGTTTTTTCCTTAGCTTATAATTGAAAATTGCTTTATTGGCATATAATGATCTCAGTCTCAAGTAGGTTTTCTTCAAAAGATTTTTAACATGACTGGTGAATCTAAGTTTGAAATCGATTACCACGCCAAGAATTTTAACCTCGTCAACCGGGTACAGTCTTCGAGATCCAATTTTAATAGTTAATCGACTTTTAATTTCTTCTCTCCTACGATCCGAACAAAAAAATAACAGGCTGGATTTACCAGGATTTATTGACTGGTTGTGGTTATTCTAGAAGTCATACACTTTTTGAATATCATGGTTTATTGATGTCTGTGCCATTTCCATATCATCAGTATCAAAATAATGGACCAGTTGAGTATCATCCGCAAAAGACTGGAGTTCACAAAAACTCACAGCCTTAGGGTACGAACATAGTGGAGCGACGAGGTTTCAGATTCAGATAGAGGCTAACCGCGCGGTTTGCCGCTATGTGAGTCAAAAACACAGGTTGAAACCTGTCGGGCCATAGTAGCGCGATAAGGCATGCGTCGAGTCTCTAGGAGGTTTCGAGCGACGAGTTTTAAATAGTTGCATTCAATTTTTGTCACGCGTTTTCAAGCGATTTAATAATGGATGTTGTGCAATTAATAAATAGTGTATATCACAGAAGGGCTATATGGGATCAGAGTCATCCAGATCATCGCAACCGATACGTGCTAGATAAGTTATGGGAGGAGGTAGCCAATGAATGCAATAATCAGTCGGGTAAGTAAATAATTGTATTTTATACACATTTCAACAGCTAGAACTTACATCTTGCGGTAAAATTTTAAGCTGTCTCGTAACTGATTGGAAAGAAATTAACATAGTTACAGAAAATGTCGCGAACTCTTTGACCTTCACCCAGTTGCCTTCCTCTAGGTAATTCAAACATCTGATCTCTAGGAACTGCATCAGTTACTAATGTTAAATGTCGTTGAAATCCCTCTCGGTCCAGTATTGTATTATGCAAAATGCATATCGCCTTAATGATATCATCCGCAGTCTTTTCAGTAGTCTCTATAGCTTTGGACAGAAGACGCCACTTCGCGTACATAATTCCAAAGGTGCACTCGATAGTTTTGCGTGCTCTGGACAATCTTTGGTTAAAATTTATATGTTCCAAAGAGCGGTTCCTTCGATTGTATGGTTTTAGCAAATTGGGCATTAGTGGATACGCTTCATCTGCAATAAATACGTAGGGAGCGCGGACATTTGTTCCTGGTAAACTATCTGGATTTGGCACATTTAGTTTGTTTTGGTGTATCCGTTTGTACAAATTGGAACTCTGAAACGTTCCCCCATCGCTCTGTTTGCCGTAACCTCCGACATCTATCACAAGCAATTTGTAATTTGCGTCGCAAACTCCTTGTAGGACGATAGAAAAATAATGCTTATAATTGAAGTACATGGATCCGGAATGTTGTGGTGCTATAACTTTGACGTGTTTGCCGTCAACAGCTCCGATGCAATTGGGGAAGTTCCATACTTTCATGAAGTCTGCACTTACATTTAAAAATGTTGCCGTAGTAGGTTCTGGCATGTGAAGTGGTTGCAGCATGTTCCATAATATTTTAATCATATGTTTTATAATGCTCGCAACAGTACTCCTGCCCATTCGAAAGGAAAATGCCAAGTGTCTAAAGGACGCTCCTGTTGCAAGATATCTGAAAATTTTTGTTTGTTGCAGTTAAGAAAGTTTCTGAGAAGTGGAAAAATCTACGTGATTATTTCAGAAAAGAACTGAAGAAAATACCTCTGCCCCGGTCTGGTGATCCAGGCGAAGAGGCTCTTAAAAAGAGCTCCTGGCCTCATTTCAAAAGTTTATTGTTTCTGAGAGACCAGTTTCTGCCGAGATCCAGTCATAGCAACCTGTTGGATCCCGACAATGACACACAAGTTTCGACACCCTCTACGCAGATGGATGAAAATGATGGTGACTATGACGAAGACGAAATGGACGAAACGCAGGGTGTAGAAACGCAGGAAACAGAACCCGACCACACAGAATCAGTCACTCCAATTCAAAGCACACCAAAAGAACCACGAACTATTCTAAAGAATAGGGCCCGAAAACGGTCAAATCAACTTGACGCTTTTCTTGAGATAGAGAAGAAAAAACTACAATATTTAGATGAGAAACGTGTCGCTGCAGACCGTGGCAGAGCCCTACCAGTCACAGATGACGATAAACTGTTTTTTGATAGCCTTTTGCCCCACGTGGTGAAAATTAGGCCTCATCGAAAACTTCAGTTCCGCAATGAAATTCAAAATTTGGTTCAGAAGTATGCCTATGAAGAGTACTCGAACAATCAGTCCACCATCAATGTCAGTCATTCTGTTAATCATAGCCCGACATATACATCTCAACCACAAACATCGTTTGCACATTCATCCCATTTGTTGCAGGGGTTTAATTACGCAGATCAGTAAACATTATAAGTTATTATAAGTTATCGTTCGTTGTGTTCAGAAGACAGAATATTATTTTGCGTTACCGTTTGTTTGTTTATGAATAATAAAAGTATTATCCTTAATACATAATATTCTCTTACCGAATTGTTACCACCAACATTTCTTCGGTTCCTATAGGCGCTTGATTAAAATTTGTCCATTTCTTGTTGATGCAGGGTGTAACTTGTTCTAATATATACTGAAAGGTGGCAAGTTCCATTCGAATGTAGTCAAATAGCCTGTCGGGATAATTTTTCAGTTCTAGAAATAAATGATGGAATTCCCCTAGGCGTTTCCGACTTTTATTTACGTCGTGCACACTACACTGCCGCACTCCAGTCATTAAAAGCACTTGCAGGTAAGTATTATTGAGAAGAATGTCATCGTCACTGTCGGAATACATATTTTTACGTCTATCTTCGACAAAACGCGACGCTCTACTATAACCATAGGTGCCTCTTGCCTCTACGCTCTAGACGCTACCAGATATCTGAATCTGAAACCTCGTCGCTCCACTATGTTCGTACCGTTAGGCAGATCAGCAATATATATAAAAAACAACAAGGGACACAAAACAGACCCCTAGGGTACTCCAGACGAGATTTCTAGAAAACTAGATTTATTGTTTTCCATTGATACACACTGCGATCGATTTGATATATAATTTCGAAAAAAATTCAATGCAATTGGATCTATGCCATAATACTTCAACTTTGCTATTAACAACTCATGATTTATTTTGTCAAATGCCTTGGAATAATCGATTGACATCACTGCTACGCCCATTTTTTTATCAAGTGCTCTAATAATATTATCCACTAAGTTTAATGTGTATGTGCATACATAGATATCAACAATTTCGTCATCAAGAACAGTAATTGTGCTGGAGCACCAACGTTTTCTTACAAATTATATATCATTAATTCATTTTATATATCTATTATGTAAAGTTACGATTATCTCTTAAATAGATGGAGGTTTAATTTCAGAAGCAATTTCACAGTTTTTTAATACTTTAGAAAAATTAATATCCATCGAAAAATAGAGGGAGATATTTTAGAGGGTGATTCCTTGTTGAAAAATATGAAAAAAAGTTTCTATCAACTTGGGTTTTGAAGATACAGGGTGATGAATTAAAAAAAATCTTTTTTTATTAATGTCTAAAAAAATATTTACTTCATTCTGTTGAAATTTGGCAATATTATTTGTTGTGCGCGGGATGTCTTTTAAGTTTTGCATATGGAAATAAAACAACACGGTATTTAGTTTTAAATGACTTGATTGTTTTTCGAAGTATTCTCCACGAAGATTAATACGCATCTGCATGCGCTCGAACCAATTTTCGAAGCACTTATTCCACTCGTTTGCTGGCAGATCCAAAACGGTATTTTTGAATGCGTCAACTGCTTCTTCTGGTGACTGAAACCTTTGACCACGCAGTCTGTTTTTAATTTTCGGGAAAGTAAAGAAATCGTAATGACTTAGATCGGGACTATATGGAGGATGGTCTAATAATTCCACGTTTTCTTCCGTTAAATGCTGCCTTGTTTTTTGGGCTGTGTGCGAGCTTGCATTGTCTTGATGGAGGATGATTCTTCTTTCGGGGTTGATTTTTCGAAGCTCGGTGATGACTTTTGGCGAACAAATGGTAGTATACCAATCCACAGTATCAGTTCTTTGCTCATTAAGAGAATTGTTGCAATATGACCCACTTTTGACACAAATGTCGCGACTATCTTTTTCGAAACATCGAGAACGGATGACTTTTGTTGGCTTTTCTTCTCTTTGGAACACCCAAACAGCCGACTGTCGTTTATTTTCTGGTTCATAACAGTAAATCCACGATTTATCACCACTAACAATGCAGCACACATTTTTTGAGTTTCCGGAATTGGAACGGTCAAGCGTTCTTTAACACCAATTAAACCTGGCTGCTTTCTGTTCTTCAGTCAACAGGTGGGGTATCCAACGAGAAACTAATTTTCTTACTCCTAATTCTTCATGTAAATTTTTTTGAATTGAGGTCTTTGAGATCTTCAAGGACGCCTCAATCTCGCGATATGTCACATGTATATCTTCAATGATGAGTTTGCGCACAGCATCGACATTTTCCTGGGCTTTTGGTGCGCCCACCCTGGGATCGTCGCTAAGACTCACCCATCCACGTTTGAATTCTCCATACCAACGGGAAATTGTCGACTGATGTGGCGCTTCGTTGCCGAAAACAGACAGTAACTCAGCAAGGCATTCTTGTTGCGATAATTGTCTCTGAAAGTTGTAATAAATTATGGCGCGAAAATGTTCTCGGTTGAGTTCCATTTTTCTAATGACTTGCTGATACTTAAGAATTCACTGTAGTGAGAACACTTTACGTATTGTTGTGAAACTTTGAATTTAAGTTTACTAAAGAGTGAGGTTAAGATCCAGTACTGACGTTCGATCCACTATGATTCTATATGCAAAACTTAAAAGACATCCCTCGTATTAAGAGGCTAATTTGGCCCTAAACAGATTAAAATTGTTAGGTCCAGTGGCGTCCCGTTGGGCACCGTTGCGAATATTATTGGCAAAAAATGTACGCCACTGCCTTTTTTGTAACTTTAATATTCGTTCTTTGATTAAGAATCTGAAAATATAACTTCTTTGCCTCTTGTATTTTTTTTCGTACCTCACTTCGTTTCCGAAAAAAAATTAAAACCCTTTTATTGCAAGGCGCTAGACGAAATTGATTTATTAATTTTTGCTAAGAAAAATCGAAAGTGCTTTGGAAAGCAAAAAATCAAGAAAATCTCTAGTAGAGACTTTTCCAATAGGGACCATTATAAAGTACACTACAAGAAATTAATAAAAAACTTTTTTTAATGTACATTTTCCCATGCTTATTGAAACTTTTTTCATATGTTTTAACAGGGAATCACAATCTAAAATGTATATCATTTAACTACCATCCCCTGTATCTGGTGATCCGGTTGAATTCTGAACAAATTTTCTAAACCTTCGTCGTCACTAAGCCTTTATAACGCTCCAATAGGACAGAGGCAAACTACTTGACTCATCTACTCTGAAGCCGATAACAGATTCACGGTCTCACTTTGCTAGGTCTGCTATGTATATTTTCAGGAAACAGCGCATCTAGTAAAAATATAAATTCCTCAAACAATGTAAACTATCAACTTGAAAGTAAACATCTATAGCTGCTGTCCTTGGTTTGGTCTGATTTTAGACCAACAATAGACCAACGTAAAAATAGCCATCATGGCCGATTGCCCGATGAATCACTAACCTGGAGGTACATTAGGCAATATAACGGACAGGCACTGGAACATTTCATTCATTTCGAAGACAAAGAAAAGTAATTGTTATGCAATACCAGTCGATGATTCGATAATAAGCGGTTCACCTAGTTCACTTACGCAGATTTAAAATGTCAACCTAATTGAATCGCGAAATCTTTGTGTTATATTGTTAAAAAATCGGCGCTTGAAAAATTCGTGAAGGAGTGCCAGATGTTTGTCTGGTTATAAATAAGGCAAAGGTAAGAAAACGGAAAAGAAATAATGAAAGCAGACATTATCAAACAAGTCTCTATGAATTTTTCTTACATCTAGACGGATAATTTTGACTTTGATGTCAAAATATGTACATCAAGACGAGGTCAAGTTAAAGTGCAAGGTAAGTCTGTCTTCCAGGTTAGCTCAGAAATAGACCAGAGTCAGGAAAATGAAAAGAAAGAAAACAAAGATTCATCATAACATCTACATGTATTTCCAAATTACACACAATACAATTTTCGATATCAAAAAGTGCGTCTAAACGTACTTCAAGCTATTTCAGAAACGATGAAATATAACAAAAAATACGAATTTTCGAAACACGTTCAAATAAAGAGAGATCTGCAAAAGTTTCCCCTATGCCCCAAAGAGACGACATTTGGGGACAATGGGGTCAAGTATGTAGATTGACTCAATAGTTCTTACGCCTTCGTTGAGGGTTTCGAAGAAAAGGGAGGTATGCACCAATTTTCATCCCCTCCAAACAATGTCTAAAAATGAGCAGGAGTCTCTGCAACGTAACACTATGTTCCAGTGATTTTATTTCCGCCGCCACTGAATCAATTTTCAAAATCTACGACTAGCTAAACGATGAAAATATTAAACTCGCGATAATATTTGAACTTCGGCTCACAAATTTTCTGTTGCTCCGTGTTTCTCATTCATGTCAGTCTGTTGTAGGTATATCAATGCGTCATAAGTACTGAGTTACTCTACTTGACGAAATATACAGGGAACCGTTAAATATAAAATATATAGATATTTCTCCTATAAGGGTGTGTCAGTGACGAAACCACAGCAGACCAGTTGGAGTTTGTTACCTATTACATAGTCGGCAGTAGCCTTAATGACGATGCAGCATCGCGCCATGCACGCAATGCCCACAGCTGCCAAGTTATTTCGAATTATGAGCACATTATACATCGTACTTTCAACATTTAACTTCCCCGTTGTTACGTAGAATACTAGGTAAATACTAAAGACTTCACATTAACAAACAACCCCTAGTTTCAAACAATACAAAAATTTTACCAAAATAACGGGTGATTTTTTAAGATGTATAGGATTTGATTTTCAAAAAAAGCACAAATAATTTGAAAAAACGATTAAATCTTTATTTGAGTCGATAGAACGGTCGATATAATTTAATGTTTGAAGATTATTTCATGTAAATGTTGGCCGCGGCTCCGCTTTTGATGGCCCATGCGCAAGGTCCAATTTTGGCACACTCTCTCCAACATATCGGCCGGTATCTCACCAATAAGTGCTTCAATATTGGCTTCCAGTGCGTCAATCGTTGCTGGTTTATCCCTGTAGACATTAGCCTTAACATGGCCCCACAAGAAATAGTCCAACGGCGTTAAATCACACGATATCAAACGTGAGATAAACTGTTCACCGAACTCGCCTCTCAATAGGGCCATTGTTTCGTGTGCGATGTGGCATGTGGCACCGTCTTGTTGAAACCACATGTCAGCCAAGTCCAGCTCTTCCATTTTGGGCAAAAAAAAATTTGGTATCATCGCACGGTAGCGCTCGCCATTCACAGTTACGTTCCGGCCATTGTCGTCTTTGAAGAAGTACGGCCCGATGATGCTACCGGCCCATAATCCACACCAAACAGTGATTTTTTCGGGATGCATTGGTAGCTCTTGCAATGCTTCTGGCTGGTCTTCACTCCAGATGCGGCAATTTTGCTTGTTAACGAACCCATTCAATCAGAAATGAGCTTCGTCGCTTGAACACAATTTTTCGATAAAAATGTGGATCATCCTCCAACTTTGCCAGCGCCCATTCACCAAATGGGAAACGTTGTGGGAGGTCGTGAGGCTTCAATTCTTGCACCAGCTGTATCTTATAAGGTTTTACATCCAAATCCTGTCGCAAAATTTTCCACGTAGTGGAGTAACAGAGGCCCAATTGCTGCGAACGGCGGCGAATCGACATTTCACGGTCATCACTAACACTGGCGGATAACAGCCGCAATATTTTCTTCAGTCCTCACTCTACGTCTGCGTGTTGGTGGTTTAATGTCCAATAATATAAACTGGATTCGAAATTTAGTCACAAGCTTCCGAATAGCTCCCTCAGTAGGCCGACCAAATTGCCCATAAATTGGAAGCAGTGCTCGATGCACTCTCTTAACCGAGCATTAATTTTGATAGTAAAATTCAATAATTTGCAAGCGTTGTTCATTCGTAAGTCGATTCATGGTTAAATTATAGACCAAACTGAACAAGTTTGACAATGACACAAGACACGATTCATGCGTCATCTGTCAAAAACAGTGTTATCAAAAAGATACTAGCAAAAAATCACCCATTATAAGGAGCCTCTAAAACGTCATTAAACGAAGTTTAGGGAATTTTCGTATTTTCGTCCCTAGTTCAGCCATCACTAGATCGATTTTCAAAAACTACAAAGCTTTTTCATCCTTGGCATAGTAGTAACCTTGTGTGAAAATTTCATCAGAATCCGAGCGACACTTCTCAAGTTATAGGCGATTATAATGTGCATGTTATACAACATCTAAAAAACTTATCTCCATTTCGACATTTTTCGCGATTTTACTATGTATACTATGAATATACATCAATAAGATGTTGTTTCTCGGACTTCAATTGTCTATAAGGTTTTTTGAATCACGACGTTTTAATTGATGTGATCTTCAATTGTCATCAAGTGAACTGGCGACCATGCTCTTTTTTAGACTATTGATACCATTCGAGGACGTGGCAGTACAGTTAATTTAGACGTATAAGTTCCAAAAGTACAAATACATTCTCATTATAATCTATTAAAATTGTACAGAAGTAGTGAGTCAGTCTACTTGACTCGTCTTCAAGCTGCAATACTTACATATTCTCTGCCACCCTTCGTTCGGACAGCTTTGTAGGAGGCATAGGCTGGATAAAGCGTTCCAAAAAGCAATCTGAAAAGAGGATATATGACCATGTGAATGAATGACATCGAAATGACAGTCACGGTAACGAAATTAGATCAACCTCTACCACGTTTACACGATGCGGTAGGTCAATAAAAGATTCAATGGTCAATAAAAAAATATGTACAAACGATTAATAGACGCTCTGTAATGACACAATCAATATAAAAAGTCGATAAGAAAGCGATCGGTAAAAAATCTGGAACCGGACAAAATAAGGATGACCAGGATCAAGAGATAATCAGCCGATCAATAAAGCGATACCCAGCCGACGAATAGGAAAACAACGAAACGAAAGATCGATAACTGAGCGATCAATGAAAATTCAAAATATGGATAGCGTCGTCACCACTGGTGCCGTCGCGACGCTCTAAGCTGACGACGCCAATCGCGATGGCGCCAAGCGAACGGGACGGATGGCACTAAGCGCGTGCTGCGCGGACATCGCACGCTCTTTTGTTTTCTCTGACGTTACAGTGTTGCCGAATTGGTAAAAAAGGCAGGGATATTTTAAGAGTACACAGAATAAAGAGCAGTTGGTGACAAAGGTCCCTTTGAAACGCTAAATACTTATAATAGTTATTTGTGTATCAAGAGCGCAAAATGTTACTTTGACGCTCGATAAATACGGCAAGAGAGAGCAGTATAAATAATATTTTACACTAGAATTGCACACCTGGCAACATGGAAGGATTTCGACGGTAAATCGTATTGAGCATTTTTTTGACTTTGTAGCTCTAAAGCAAAATAGCTGTCATTTCAGAAGTTTTGACCGTTAACGTAAACTATATACGAAAAGTAAAGTGTATTTACCAAAAATAACTATAATATGGTAATATAAATATGAAAGCGTATACACATCAAGAATGGTAAACAAATAGGAAGGCCACTGAAGCAAGCTTGTGTGTAGGGTTGTACAATTCACAAAATTTTTCACTAATTCACTAATTTTAGTAAAATGGCAGCCACTCAGACCTTCCACTATAAAATAGCTCACATACTTGAAAACAATTCGACGAAAATCGGTTCACAATATTGGTTATAAAATCGGTAAGGTAATCCATAATCAGTCATTTGAAAATGTATGATAAAAACAAGCATATCAATTCGTTAAAATCGTCTACAGTCGGTTAATGTAAACGTGTTTGATAAAAACTAACATCTTCATCTAATAATAATAATAATAATAATAATAATAATATTTATTTACTCAATGTACAAAGATAACAAACAATATGAGTAAATAAATATAAAATCAAAGCAGGCCCAATAGAAGGCATCGCCTGTACATGGACCAATAATTTAAGTTGAAACTGTAGAATGCAAATGACAAAAAAGTTCAAAAATTAGCTACAGTAGATTATGTATTTAGTTGATGTTCGTATTTATTAGTTTATGAATTTCAGTCCTAGATATACGTATAGAATGTAGCCACTTTTTTAATTTCTTTTGAAACAATTTCCGAAACGTAAATCTTTTAAGTCTTTAGGTATAATTTCATAAAATTTAGGCGCTAAATAGAGATATGATCGCTGCATTATAGATTTATGCGGTTGAGGAACTACTGTGCCACGAATTTTGTACCTGGTATAATGATTATGTTTAATTTTTTGGTCGGTGTTTACAAATTTATGGTAGTGAGTGATACTGTGTAAGAAATAAAGCTGTCTTATATCATACATTCGAATATCTGCGTATAATTTTTCAGTGGGATAGAGTTTCGGTTTTTTAAATATCATTTTTAGAATACTTTTTTGAAAAACATCTAAATTATAGATATGTGAGGAACATGCAGCTCCCCATGCTAATATACCATATGTGAGATGAGGCTCAATCAGTGCATGGTATAATGTTCGAAGATATTTTTCTGACAATATATTCCCAAGGTAGTTAATTTTGTAGGATACAAATCTAACTTTCTTTAAAATATAATTGACATGGATGTCCCATCGTAAGTGAGGATCCAAGACCACTCCAAGGTATTTTATGTTGGACACTCTATTAATTTGCATTTTTTGATCATTAATGTTGAATGAGAAATTTGTGTAATTTGGCAGATGTCTAGCATAAGATCCAAATGGTAAAAAATGTGTTTTAGAGTAGTTAATGCTTAATTTTCTACTGTTAAACCACCGAATAATTTTGATAAAATCATTTTCAATTATATTTTTCAGATCAGACCAGTCAGTGCCTTCATATAATATTGCAGTATCATCTGCAAAACTAGTTATTTTGCCAACACAATTAATTTGGAAAATATCATTTAAATACATATATATTGAATAACAGCGGACCTAAGACAGTTCCTTGTGGGACACCAAACTTAATATACATTTCTTTACTAAATGATCCTGATATCTGCACAGATTGTGGGCGATTTGACAAATAATTTTCGATCAGTGAGTACGCGTTTCCTCTGAAACCAATTCTCTCCAATGCTTCTAATAATAATTTGTGATTAACTGTATCGAAAGCTTTCTTTAAATCAACAAAAATGCAGATAGAAGGGATTCTGTTATCAATATTTTGATGTATTTGATTTACAATTTTAGTTATTGCGTCCGATGTAGCCTTCCCTTCTGTAAATCCATATTGATTTTCATTTAAAATTTTGAATTTTGTGAGGTATCGAATCATTCTAGTAGATAAAACTTTTTCAAAAACCTTTGCTACACTGGATATTATTGATATTGGTCTATAGTTGTTAACATCTGTTTTTGTTCCTGATTTATGTATCGGTATTATATTACCTTTTTTTAAAATTGACGGATATATGCCAGATTCAAAGCATTTGTTGATTAGGTAGTGAGTGGTTCTGTTATGTCCTCGGCTATAATTTTCAAATGCTCGCTTTTAATACCATCGAACCCAGGACTTTTCCGATTTTTTAAGGACATAACAGTGGTGTATACTTCACATTGTTCGACTTTATCCAAAATAAATGAGTTCAAAGTTCTTTTTGGAGGCTGAGTATTTTGTACATTTGCTTGTATATTACTTGCTAAATTTTCGCCTATGTCAGTAAAGAATTGTACAAATTCATCGCATATCTGTTGAGTATTTTTTAATACTGTTCCCGATGTTGCATTTAACTCAGTGACACACTCTTTAAATTTTGTTTTCCCAGTAATCTCATCAATAGTTGTCCAAAGCCGCTTAGGATCATTTAAGTTATTATTCAATTTATTTAGGTAATGTTTTCGTTTGGTTTGCCTTGCAAGCTCTATAAATTTATTTTTATATTGGTTGTAACAGTCGGTATTCTCTGTAGTTGGCGTTAGTTTCATTACGTTATATAGTCTTTTTGTTTCTATTGCCGATGTTATTAATCCTTTGGTAATTCAGGCATTTCTGCTTTTCTCTTTGTGACTAATTATTACTTTATTGGTACTAATATCTATTAGTTTTTTTATTTTCTCTATGAACATGTGATAATTATTAAAATTTGGTATCGACGAAAAGAGGGAGAGAGAGAAAATGGATAAACAGATAAAGTAAGTATACAAACATCACAGTAATAGTTCCAATAAATTTATGAGATCTATAATCATCACAGTATTGTTATGTACGTCAACAGAAATTTTTGACCGAGCATCCTATGACCGGGCAAGACATTAAAAGCTTTGGGACATAATTTTTGGGTGCTTTAATTGTACGTCCCGTTGTCTTGATTTATGACAATGCTTAATGTAATCGCTGTTTCCTTTATGTAAGTGCTGAAACTATTGGAAAAATAATTGTCTGGTATCTTGAAAAGTTCATCAGATGGATACCTAGGTGGTTTGGCAAGAATTATTTAAGATATCCACTTCTGCATTACTTCCAATTTATTGAGGACTTGCAAGAGTACCATGGGATTGAACCATAGCAAAATTCAAAGATTTTAGAATATCTGAGCAGAACATTGAAAAGTATCATATGAATTTTGGAACTAAGATCCGCATTCTTTTAACTACCTGGCTGACATGTTCTGACCATCTTAGATGTCTATCTAGTACAACACCTAAATACTTCACGCTACGTTAATACTCTATCGTAAAATTATTGATGTAAAGCCGTTGCTATTGTGCCATATAGAATTCATAAGAAGTAACTGGTAAAAACGTTTTGTTTCAATTTACTGAGAGCTTCTTGCTATTAGAAAAATTAAAAAAATTCGTAAAAACTGTTTTTGCTAAAACTTTTTGACTGTGCCACGGATTATGTTTAGAATTTGATACACATTTTTTGAAAACACTGTTGTATTTTTGTTTTCAACATGAACATAAGCTTCCTTCACTTCCCCAATATAAAGCGGACAAAAACGTGTGTAATATTCTGGAAATCTTTGAAGTTGATTTTTTAATCAGAAGTTGCATTTATCTTCGGGTATTTCAAGACTTATATGTTTTGCTTTTCAGTATCAGATATATTTGAAAATCGATGTCTTTTGGTGTCAATAACAATCATCTTTTGCAGAAATTTCATTGAGGTCTTTCCATTGTTTAAAACGTCTATATTGTCCAATTATATCATTTTGTACGGCAACCCTGTTTCTTGCGAGAGCAACGCACTTATATTCTATTTTAAGACTTCTACTACTCAGAACACACATACACACATTTAGTTCTGCCATGGTTTAAGCATATGCTAGTGGTAAAGTTTCGGAGAATAGAGGGTCAAAAATAAAAAACTTATATGAGCAAAAGGTATCTCAGGAAGTGTTCCATTTTCCATTCCAAATCGGAAGGTGACCCACATGTATAATAATTGCGCCTGATAACTAGTTTGTGCCGTGTTTTTGGGTAAAATGTGTGATGTTTTGGTCATTATATGCGACTAGTTTGGAAACATATTCAAACCATAACTATGACGAGGCTATAGATTGTAAAATACTTTACACTATTACGGAGAAAAGATTAAAATTGTAGCCAACTTGATTGGAGTTTTTAAATTCATATAAACTACTAAAAATTGTTCATATTGCGTCGAAGGAAAACTTTCACCTAATCATAATTCATGCAATCTTTATATTACAGAAACTGCATCCTGACATATATAATTTTCCTATGTAGTCAACGAACGACATCCGACCTGCAGACACTAAAAATTCACCAAAATAAAAAAAGCCAGACCAACAGATTGTGACTGAAAACAATAAGGAGCAACGTTTTTAATACAATGCCCGAGCTTTACTACGAACCCTAGTTCCGCAGGGCTTTTGCGTAAAAAACATAAAAACCGGCAAAACACGACAAAATGTCAACCTGCTGCCTAGATAGCTCCTAGTGTGCAAATATTACATTCCGCGTTTGCTCGTTATGAGTGCTGCGAGCGTCCATCTATCGAGGAATGACTGAACGACACGACACACTAAATAACCATGCCGTAATCTGCAAGTCAATTCCCTATCATGCTTTGTTGGTTGCAGAGTG